TATCCAGAGAATCATGTTATCTGCTATGCCAAACAAATGTCCAAGACGACCTTTAGAAAAGGTTCTCTATGATGCCTGGGACAGTGGCGCAGCAGCTGAAGTCCTCCCCTTGAAAGCACCAAGATCCCATATGGGTGCCAGTTCTCATCCCGGCAGCCCCCTGCTTGTGGCCTGAGAAAGCAGCCAACGATGGCCCTAATCTTTGGGATCCTGCACTCATATGGGAGACCCAGAAGCAGCTCCTGGCTTTGGATTAGCTCAGCTCCAGCCATTACAGCCACTTGGGGAGTGAATCAAGGACAGATAATCTCCTCTGTCTCTCCTCCTCTTTGTATATCTGCCTTTCCAATAAAAATAAATCTTAAAGAAAGCTTTCTATAAATATCTTACTAAATATTCACCACGTATAATCTGCTTAGTTATTTAGATTACTTGAGAAATAAGAAATATAGTCTCCAAGGAGATATAACATGAATGCAATAAGCAGAACAAAGCCCAAACCAACTACAGAAATTCACCTATTTTTATTTTTATTTTTTTTTAAAGCACAGAGAGATCTTTGATTTGTTGATTCACTTCTAAAAAGCTTGTAAGAGCCAGGGTTATGGCTTATGAGATGTGGCACCTAGATTTTGTTTAACTAACTTATTTGTCAAGTACAGAAACACACACACAGCATCTATCCATTGATTTATCCCTAAAACATGCACAATGCTAGGACTTGAGTAGATCAAAGTTAGAGAGAATTGGGAGCTCAATACAAGTCTTCCATATGGGTTTGCAGGGATCCAAGTACATGAGCCAACATAGCTGCTTCAGGGTCCACATTAGCAAAACAGTGGAATTAGGAATTTGCATCCAGGAATCAACTCTGGGCAACACAGTATGGGAAGCAATGCCTTTACTACTAGGCTAAACTTTTGGTTTTTGAAGCAGATTTCTGAAGGAAAAGACCACTCAATTACTTTAAAAAGATGAAAGCTATGATCTTGCTCAAGCCAGATAGAAAATAAGCAAAACGCTGGTAGATCAATAAACGATTCCACTTGTTACTCTTAAAAGGCTTTTATCCACATACCTGGTGTAATGTCAGTCCTTGAACGACCACACCTTTTTGTGCATCTTCCCGGACAGCAAGTGGCCCTGAATTTACTAAGAGGTCACGGATCTGTTCATTATATACCTAAGCAGAAAACAAGACAAAGCAAAAACACAAACAACAACAAAAAATACTGTTTGATGTCAAAACTGTAATGGGAACAACCACCCACATAAGTTTCTTATGATGAAGTAAGAATCAACGTAATTTCTGTAATGTTTCTGTCAATGCATAAACCAAGTTTAGTCATGGCATATCCAAATTTAAGACTTAATCTATTATAGCATCATAAAATACAAAAACAAAAACCCAAAAACTCTAGAGCAAAAGAGGCTAATGAGAAAAAACTTATTGTACTTTGTGATCTGAAAGGGTTTCATCAGAAGAGCATGCAAAATCTCAAAGGTATGGACATTACATAATAATGTGAGATTCTCACTATTTGAAAATCATTCAGGGGTCGTCTGAGAAAATTTCCTTTTTTTAAGATCTAACTATTTGAAAGTTACACAGAGAGTAAGAGGCAAAGAGGACAAAGAAAAACGTTCTGCTTTACAAGTATGCCATTTAAATTTTTCTGAAAGCAGAAAAAGCAAATGTTACCAAATGGGGGGTCTGGATAAAGAGCAAGCGGAAATTTTCTGCCCTGTTTGAGCTTGTCTGTCAGTATGAAATTACAAGAAAACTAATAATACCGAAGACTATTAATTTAAATGAATTCATATATATATATATGTGTGTATATATATATATATAAGAGAGAACTCCAGTGCGATGAAAAGTTTTATGGAGCAAAGATTTCTCAAAACAATTGACTAATGGAAGGAATAAGGTGGCCAGCTTACCTCCAGATATGAGACTGCGGTACTACACACTTTTTCCTCTTTAATCTCATCCATGGATTTGTAAAGGTCTAACATTGTTAGGTACATCACTCCAGGTTCATCAACGGATCCTAGCATTGTGTGGGTCTTTCCAGCTCCAGTGGCCCCATATGCAAGTACTGAGTTTTTATGAAAAGGAATCACAGCTCCTTGTTACAACATGTAAAACTGAGTAGTGCAGAATTTTGTTTGGATATTCTGAACAGCATCCTTATACCCAACAGATCCCAAACTGATGCACGGTAAAAACAAGGAAATTCTAGCACAAATCTACCTCACTACCGTATTCCATTCTGATTAATGGTATCATTGTCCTCTACCTCTCACTGCAAAGGCAGTCTTTCATTCAAAGCATTCTTGCAAATTTCAATCAATCAATCAATCAATCAATCAATCAATCAATCAAAGTCTCCCTACTGGATCTCACTAGTCTCACTAACTGGATATTTCTCTGAAATATCCCTTGGGGTTTGTACAAAACTCACCTTCAGGGAAAATGGCTCAACTATGTTAAAACTTCCTTTAGGCTTTGCAATTCTACATGAGAAAGCATAAATTCCTCACTGTGGACAATGACACCTTACTCTAAGGGAAGGTTGTTTTTTTTTTAATTTTGTTGTTCTAGACTGTTTCATGTGATCTACATGTACTAGATCATTAAAAGTTCTTAGCTTTTGATGCTCCTTCTTTATATCACTGTCTTGAGGGTATGTCACAAAAACTGGTAACTATGAAAATACGATATTTATAATGGTGTTCAATAATTTTCTTTCAGGATTCTTTGAAGTACAATATAACAAATCTATTTCTTTAAATGCATAAAATGCATTGAGTGACCATTTGGGGGCTCTTTTAGGATCAATAGTTATGTAAACAAATTACCATAGCCTCTCCAAAGCAGTATAGAGCCTTCCTGTGCTGTGATATCTTCAAACAGCACAATATTGAGTCAAAACGGAATTTGCAGTATTCAAGACACCATCAAGAAAAATGTAAGTGAAAAGAAACTGTCAAATATTCAGAAATATGGGACTATTCCCCAGGGACAATTAATTGGTAAGAAGTGAGATATTTATGAACATAAATTTGGAGGACCTCACTGTAAAGTGCAAGGAGCAAATATGGTGGTTTAATAATGTAGGGGAGAGAGAGAGGATTAGTCTGCAGGGACCACGATATAACATGGAATTTAAGCCTCATATCTGACACCAATTATGTACAACATTGAAATTTTAAATAAAGTCTACATTATTTTTCTGTCGAACATTAACAATGAAGTATTTTGGGCCCGGCGCGGTGGCGCAAGTGGTTAAGTCCTCGCCTTGCACGCCCGGGATCCCATATGGGCGCCGGTTCTAATCCCGGCAGCCCCGCTTCCCTTCCAGCTCCCTGCTTGTGGCCTGGGAAAGCAGTCGAGGACGGCCCAAAGCTTTGGGACCCTGCACCCGCGTGGGAGACCCGGAAGAGGCTCCTGGCTTCGGATCGGCATAGTATCGGCCCGTTGCGCTCACTTGGGGAGTGAATCATCGGATGGAAGATCTTCCTCTCTGTCTCTCCTCTCTGTATATCCGCCTTTCCAATGAAAAAATAATAAAAATAAATCTTTAAAAAAAAAAAAAAAAAAAAAAAAAAAACAATGAAGTATTTTATGCTCAGAAGGGCCAAGGGGGTGCTTTTCCTAATGTAGAACCCAAATCATATGCAGAAACTGAGTGTCAAATTGAAACGATTACCTGTACAATTATATCCATTCAAGAAACTACGAAGAATTGGCTTAGTCGTATGTTCAAAAACTTCCAATTGAGTTGAAGTTTCATCAAAAACAGTATCAAATACAAATTTAAGGTCTTTATTCTGTCTCTTTGTAATATCAAAATTTGTTTTTTTCTTTTTATGAAAAAAAGTGACTTCTTCATGTTTGGGATCAAATAGTAATATGTGTTTATCCACAACATGGACCACTTTACGTAATCCAGCTGTCTTTTCCTTGGTGTTTTCAGGCCGCACGCGAACGACTACTTTCATGTGGTGACACAGATCTTCTTCAGTGACAGACATTGCTGATTATCTTGATTTCAGACTATATGAATACCTAGATCTTTCTCTGAAATTAGAAAAATAAAATTGTATTATTTGTCCTACTTACACGACTTCTATGCAGTACTTATTCTCTTGGTAAATGTTATTGGGGGGAAACATTTGCATTTAAATAGCCTTAAAGTATATGCACACAAAATCAATAACAACCAAAAAAAATCTTCTGATTTGAATTATTAGACATGAAACTTCAGATTAAGCACTATGCGTGAACCACATGTAATCTCAGTAATGCTGCCTCCAGCCCCAGTTTTGATATTCATAAGAAGTTTAGCACTATTTTAGCTTGGGCCCGGGGAACGGACAAGAAAGGTTTTCTCTGAATCATGTCAAGGAAATGTGGAAAGAGAGAGCTTCAGCATGTGAGCTATTTTTAGTAAAAGTGATTTTGGCTGCAAAACTCTTGGCAGAGAAGAGTGATACATCCAGGCGGTCTCAAAGTTAAGTCAGAAACCCATAGGGTTAAAAATAGTTCCAAGGAGGCCTCAAGTAACTAGCTAAGGTATGAGGGTGACAGATTGTATTCCTTGATAAATTCAGGGGTCTTAACTTCCACCCTCTAATGATAAGGGAAATCAGAGAGAACTTTATGGTTAACCTCACATGAAAAGATAAAAGGTAAACTAACAACAATCTGGAAATTTCAATTATTCACACATTAATCTAGAACTTGAAAATTACAAGTAAACATCAAGCAACATTTGAGTAAACACTTGAGTTTGTTGCTGGATTAAACATGACCCATTAATACCACTTCTAGGTATTTATCCAGAGGAATAAGGAATATTGAAGAGCTGTCTGTACTCCGTGTTCATTGCAGCATTAGTCATGATAGCCACAATACACAGACACCTAAATGCCCACAAACAGATGACGAATAATGGAGAACTAGTCAGCCTTTAGAAAGGAATAAAATTGCCATCCCTTCTTGGCCTTTTGGCTAAGATCAAGTGTAGTATCCGTTCTTATCAGTTTAATATCTGATACGTCCTCTATCCAAGGACAGTATATTGGATGGATTTTTGGAGCCTGGAGTTGGAATAGGAGCTTGCTCTGTCCACTCTGTGCATCGACCTGGTATTGCAATACCTCCAGGAATGGTGCAAATAATTATAATGAAAAAAAGGAATGAAATTGTCACGTGTGACAACATGTGTGAATCCGGAAGATATAGTCTCTAATGAGATAAGAGAGGCAAAGAAAAATAAAAATTATATGATTTCATGTGAATGTATAAAATTTTAAAAATTTGAAATCACAGACCTAAAAGTAAAATAATGGTTACCAGAGCTGGAGGTAGTAGGAGGGGCAGGATGAGTGGGAAAGGAGGAGGTTGATCCAAACATACAAAGTTTTGGTAGACATGATGAGAGATGGTGGTGATCCAGTATGAGGACTATGGCTAATATATTTCAAAATTGACGTCAAAGTGGACTGTTACATATTTGAGCAAGAGAGAGCTTCTACTGGTTCACTCCGCAAATGCCTCTAACATGGCCAAAACTGGTCGGCAGCAGGAACATAATGCAGGTTTCCCACTTGGGTGGTAGGGAATCAATTATTTCCAACAGAGCATCTATTGGAAAGATCAGTGAACAAAGGGGTGGATAGTAACACACAAGAGGAAAAGTGTTGGAACTACTAAATGTTTTGAGGACAGACTAGTAAAATGATGGTGTCCACTAAGAACAGGGTGGATGACGGCAAGTCACATTCTATAGGTAGGTAAATGTGAAAGACTCTCCTGACCAGCAGATGGAGGAATGACAGAAATTAAGATTCAAGAGTAACTTCAAGGTTTTTTGCTTGAGTGCTGGAAAAATAGAGTAGTCATCCAATAAGACAGACCTGAAGATACACCTGTTTTTCTGTCTTGCTTCTTTTTTTTTCTTAAGGATTTATTTATTTTTACCAGAAAGGCAGATGTACAGAAAAAGAACAGACAGAAAGATCTTCCATCCGCTAGTTCACTCCCCAGTTGGCTGCAATGAGTATAGCTGAGCTGATCCGAAGCCAGGAGCCAGGAGCCTCTTCTGGGTCTCCCACATGAGTGCAGGGGCCATCTTCTACGGTTTTTCTAGGCCACAGGCAGGAAGCTGGATGGGAAGCAGAGCAGCTGGGACAGGAACCAGCATCCATATGGGTTCCTGGCACATGCAAGGCAAAGACTTTAACCACTAGACTACTGCTCCTGGGCCCTCTTTCTTGATTTGTTGGGGATACAGGGAGATGAAGAGTTTGGTTTTAGACAGCTTACCTAAAATCTTAATGGGCATGCAGGTGAAAATGTCAAGACAGGAAGTCAAATCAAACAGGTAAAGGGCATCCTGTGAGTGTTAACGAAATTCAAAGTAATTATTTCTTTCTTTAAAGATTTATTTTGAATGTCACAATTATAGAGGGGGACAGGCAGACACCTTGCATCTTTTGCTTTTCTCCCAAGATGGAGAGAACAGAGAGCTGTAGGTCAACCAAAGTTATTAGCTTCAGCTGGATCTCCCTTGTTGGTGTCAGGGGCCCAAACACTTAGGGCTTGTCATGCAGTTTTTCCCAGGCTATTAAGCAGGGAGCTTGTTTGAAAGTGGAGCTGCCATGACAGGAATGGTTTTCCACATGAGATGCTGCTATCCCAAACAGCCTCTTGAGTTGTTATACTACAGCACCAGCTCTGAAATTGGGTTTTTAAGGCTTAAAACTGCATTAATAGGGGACCAGCACGGTAGCCTAGTGGCTAAAGTCCTCACCTTGAATAGGCCAGGATCCCATATGGGTGTTAGTTCTAATCCAGCCCTGCTTCCTATCCAGCTCCCTGCGTAGGGCTTGAGAAAGCAGTCGAAGACAGCCCAAAAGCCTTGGGATCCTGTACCTGCTTGGGAGACCTGGAAGGGCTCAGCTCTGGCTGTTTTGGTCACTTGGGAGTGAATCATCCAGACGGAAGATCTTCCTCTCTGTCTCTCCTCCTTTCTCTACATATCTTACTTTGCAATGTAAATAAATGTTTTCTAAAAACTGCATTAATATTTGTGAAAGTCTTAAATCAAGCGGACAACGATTAGGCAAAATACTAACATACTGAGTTTTTAAGGAGAATTAACCATAGGATTTAGCAGCATTCAGATGAGTATTACTGTAAAGGGAGCCCCCCCAAAAAAGTGGTGTGGAACAGTCCAAATATTTTGTTGTTAAAAAATAGGAGTAATAACAGTAATATTAAAGCAAAAATATGTCACAGAATTATACTCCCTTGGGTAGAATTCAAATAAGGTGAAAGTAATCTAAAAGCAGCAGATGGCTGGACACAGCTCTGCCTTTTAAGATTCTGTCTTCATCCAAAAATAGAATGAAGAGAAAAGGGTGGTTATTTGGAGTCTAACAATTAGATCCCTAGTGAATAACTACACTGATCTTTCTTCATTCTTGATCTTTGGGCTACTTAAGCCCCTCAAAACACAAAAAAAATCTCAGTTCTGTGACCTCAGGCAGAAACCTCAGTTTCTCATTTGTATAAAATAGCTAATATGCCATAGAATTGTTGTGAAGGCTGTAGCTAAAAACAAGTATTAAGCTTAGTGGAGGTGTCTGATGCCTGTCAATCCTCTTCCCTGTTTTTCCCCACCCCTGCTTCTTCTTCCCACGGTGACTGAGTCCATCCTTTACTGCTTCCCAATGTGTTGATGACTAGCACTTTGAGTTAGACAATTTTCTTTGATAATTATTCTATGGGTCACAGGATGTTTAGCATTTCTACCCCTGTGTCTCTACAATTGGTAGTCTCCCACATTTTTTGAGACCAAAAACACATTTCTAAAAGCCTTCTGAAATCCTAAACAGTATTTTACTAACAGATTAAATACATATATTTTCCACAGGTGGAAGCTTTACCTGTTACTCCACAATGACTGCCCCAATGGATCACTCCGAACAATACCTGGAGGACAGTGTTGTGGCAGAGTGTGTTAAGCAACTCCTTGCAATACCTACATCTCATACTAAAGTACTGGTTCCAGTCCTGGTTACTCTGCTTCTAACACTACTTCTGTCAATGTTTCTGGGAAGACAGTGGAAGACCGTCACTGCCATGTATGCAGGAGACCACGATGGAGTTCCTACAGCCTGACTTTGGCTTGTCCCACACCCGGCTGTTGTGAACACTTGGAGCTTGGCCAGTAGATAAAGATCTTTTTATTTTCCCCTCTCTCTGTCACAGAGCCTTTCAAATACATAAATAACATCCTACTCTGAAAAACAAACAAACAAAATATGTAGTTTGAACTACAGTATTCTCTATGATTATGTTATTTACATAATTGTGATGGACATATGAATAACATATTTACACAATTATATAAAGGTATAACTATGGTAAGTGCTATGACGGTAACAGTGTCCTGGAAGACCCTACTGGGTGATTCATGTTTGGGCCTCTGCACCCACATGTGAGACCAGGCTCCGGAACTGGGTCTGGCTCAGCCATTTCATTCATGTGGTGAAGGAACCAGGGGAGGTGGGACCTCTCCCTAATCTGCCTTTCAAAAAAACAAAACTTTTTTTTTTTTTTAATTAAAACAAAGCTTCCTTGGCAAATAAGGAGATTTGAGAATGGATAGTTTTAATAAAGTAGAAAGTATTTCAGAAAGAAAAATACTGAATGGCTTCAAGCACATCAGATATTTTTCTGTGCCCCGAGATTAAGTGTTGAGAAAGCTACTTTAAAAAGATGACACTGTGTACCAGGCACAATGGCTAAATTCTCCCCTTGCAAGTGCCGGGATCCCATATGGATGCCAGTTCCTGCTCCAGCTACTCTACTTTCCTTCCAGTTCTCTGCTCATGGCCTAGTAAAGCAGCAGAGGATGGCTCAAAGCTTTGGGACTGTACAGCCAAGTGAGAGGCCTGGAAGAAGCTCCTGGCTCCTGATTGGCTCAGCTCCAGTCTTTGCAGCCATTTGGGGAGTGAACCAGTGGATGGTAGATCTTTGTCTCTCTGTAAATCTGATTGATCTGCCTTTCCAATAAAAATAAATAATCCTTAAAAAAATAGAAATAGAAAAGATAAAACCATGAAAGGTAAACTTCTACTTTCTTAATGAAACATCTACTGTTTGCTATTCATGGAAAACAAACAAAAAAGAAAACTGTGAAAAGGGCCAGATTTGGAAGATCTTTAATGCAAGGCCGAAGAGTTCAGACTTAATTTTGAAATGAACTGGAAATTACTGAAGGTATTTTAAAAGGCAATGATATCATATTCAAGTTATAAATCTGGCACAAATTTTGCTAACCAGGTAAAGGAGTTTAGGAAGCATGTAAAATATAGCTGTATTTCATGACCTGGAACACATTTTAAGAAACACATTAAACTTAAATATTATACATTTCCTACTTCAAATGTAATTTCATAATGAAATGGCTGAAGTTGCTTTCAGCTTCATGTTTCAAAGATGACAAAAGAAGGAACAATCACGCGAAAAATAATTGTGGCTGTACACAGTCCATCGGCTGCACCAACAGTCAGCCATGTGTACTCAAGGACATGCTCATCATGAAATCCATCATTTCAAATAGCCAAGGCCCTACCAACAGAGACCTTTCCAAAGCAGGTGTCTTCTATACCTATGTAATTGCCAAGATGCATGTGATATTTGATTCCTGCATGACTTGTGGCATTCACAGCAGCAAAGTAGGAGTCCATCTCAACCCCCAAAGGCTTCCATTCACTACCCTACCCTGCCCTACCTTACCCTTCCCTAACTGATGGATCTCACTCCATAAGGACAAAAGAAAAACTATCCTCTGGAAAATAAAATGAACAGCCTATTAAAAAATGCCCAAAGTCCACAAAATGTAAAAATTGCCCATGCTCAAATGTAATGACATCTTCCAAGATCAATGAGATTTTTCCTACTTTATTATATGGTGTTTTCTCCCCCCCCCCAAACATAAATAAAAGAGTCACATATTCTTAAATATGAATTAGGTATATAGAACGCAACTTTCTCCCTTCCAAGTACTAACCAGGCCCGACCCTGCTTAGAACGCAACTTTCTTTGATCTTGTTTAATATGAAGCAGCAAAAGAAAAATAATAACTCACATATTCTTCTCAGACAACAGTTCACAAGATATATTTTTGGGTATATATATACACACACATATATGTTTATATATATCACATATGGTCTCTGTTCAGTTTTGTAGTATCTAATACCAAGTGAATTTAAATGGAACAAAAAGCAAAATCGGTGAGATAAAAATGACAAATAAATCCATCTAACACCTATGTTCACTATACTTTGAAATGAAGTGTGAAAGAGTGATGAAGGAGCCAGTGGAAGAGCTTCCACTGCTAACATAAAATGAAAAACTTAGTACATGTAATAGCTAAGATCCTTCACTGGGTCAAAAAAAAATTATAAAAGCACAAGAAAATAACAAGGTTGTCTATTTTTACTTTTCAGCCTTAGTTTCTTGTAGACAGCCTGGTATGTAGCAAACTCTCAAAAATTACGATGAATAATATGATTAATAAACTATACAGAACCCAAAAAGCAATTTGCCCTTTTAGAGTAAAGGCAAGCAGAAAGAACAACTAAACGAAGACAATACACTATAGTAGAATATCATGACTGACAATAGGAAATCACAATGAGGACTTACAAGACACATTATTTAACTTTTTTTGATACTTGTAAGTCCTCATTGTGATTTCCAAAAGTTAAATAATGTGTCTAATTTTTTATTTACAAAAATTAGGGAAACAGGAAAGTTACATTTTATTTTTATCATTGAGTGAGGTTAAAAATACCACATTTATTTAACAAGGTTAATATTTAATTTTGTGTAAGATTCATTTACACAGAATGGCTCATTCCTTTGTAATGTTGAAGATCACTGCTGGCCCTGTCTAGTCTCTGATCCTTTTCTCTAATGTTTCTCCCCAAATCCACCACGCCTTGGTTACTTGGTTTAATTTACACCAACTTTGTTTCAGTATTCCTAAGCCCCTGAGCACTCCTCTGGTCTCATGCTCAGTACACTTTCTCTTACCTCGGCTGACAGTTTCCACCTCATAATCTCTTATTCATGATTCAGCTCTTGATTGAAACCCATTTTGCACAGAATTTCCCCAAAGAATCTATGTGAAATAGTGCCATCCTACTTTATTTCTCCAAGCTTTGCCAGCTTTATTTTGCTTCCTAGAAGTTAGCACTAACTAGAAGATAAACTATCTGGTTACATAATGATTGCTTATTTCATGTCTGAAATATATAAGCACTGTAACAGTTTAGACTTCATTTATATCACAGCATTTGTTAAATATTTAATAGCCAATACATAACGAGGTACCACAACAATTTGTGAAAAAAATAGAAGCTACCTTGAGTTTTACTGACTCTTGGGTTTCTTAAATAGATGAACTAACTAGCAGAGTTTAAACGTAAATGTGAATGAAAACAAGACGAGAACATGCACATCTTTTGCATTTATTGGTGTTCGTATATTGCTCTCTAGGTAAGGATCCTTAAGAGTGACAACACCTGCTGCTCCATGAAAGCAAAATATGAAAGTCTAGGTAAAAGGCACTTGCATTTACATCCCTCTGTACCATTGAGAATTACAGTCTAGCTGCTTCTATCACTTAAAAAACAGACGCTTGGCATGTCACGTCCAAGTTTAAAAAAAAAAAAAAAACCAGAAAACAAACACTAGAGAAAAGCAGCTTATTCGCATGTTTTCATTGAATAAACACTGTGAAATTTAGAATTGGGTATGATTACCAAGTCAGAAGAAGAGATTTATCACCAAAAGTGCTGTAATGCAGATTCCATGAGTTTAAAAGCCGTGCCTTTAGATCAACATCTATTCCTTTCCCCTGGTTCTGAGCTCCTGCTAAGCGGCACTGGGCTCTGCAGCTGCTACTTCTCACAGGAGCTTCAGGGCTCCTGGAGGATATGGCTTGCAAGGGCAGAGCTAGAAAGTGGGTCCAGGTCTAACAGCCACCTTTCCCCAAGTTTGATGTACTGGAATCACAGAACACGTTTCTACACATTCATACCCAAGTAAAGTGGTACTGTTGTGATTATTTGTTATATACAAACTGAAATGTCAATTACATTCAGGTTCAGCAAACTATTCAGGTCTGAGAACCACTTTCAACACTAACAATTACAGTCCCGTATTAGGCCTTTTGTTTCCACGACTTTACAAGCTTCAGGGAACTAAGTTCCAACATAAGGCAAGGTGGTACTGACAGCCTATTTTTATAAAACAACACAAAATTCACTTATTGTGTACATGAAACTGATCAGGAGTATATGGATAGAAGGACAAGATGGACTTTCAAAACGAAAATTCTAAGTTGTAGAAGTTCACCAACATTACACTAACTACTAGTGCTAAAGCCAAACTTTGTTTACTAATACGGACAGGTTCACAAGCAATACAAGCTTAATAATAAATACCGTTTAGTCTTTGCAGCTTTTTTTTTTTTTTAGTATTAACATTTGTTACAAACTTCTCCAAACCCAAGGTGATGGAACTACATGAGACAAGATGACAACTAAAACTTACCAGGTGCCTAATGTATTCCTTCAACTGTTCCACAGTTTCTAATCTAAACTGTATTGCATTATTATGCAAAATTATTTCTGACCAAATAGTCTCGTTTAGTGAACAGCAGCGGTCAGCCTTGGTTTCGGCCTAAGTGAGGGACGAGCGGACCCTAAGGGCAGGTGCTTACAATGTCCCCTATTTGAGGAGCCCTGGACCAAGAGGTCCAGCTGTTCTCTGATGCTCCGCTGATCTCAGCGAGGCCAACCACGGCACAACCTGACTAGACAAAAACTTGGCTGCGGTAACGGACCAAAGTTTCTCTGATAGTTCAGCCCAGAGATTCGCTTAACGTCTCCGTGGGAAACAAAACGCTCTTGAATTTCGATGCCAGGAGGCAGTCCACACTGTAAGGTACAGAATACTTAAAGTTCTCTGCCACAGCCTGGGAAAGGAGCCAAGCAACCCTTTTAAAAGTTTGCAACTTCCTTTCAACGCCGAAGGCAGGTGATCTCCGCCCAAGCAGCGGAGGAGCGGAAAGCGACGATCAGCGGGGCCGAGCTCAAGCTCTCCAGTGCTTTCTGCCTCCCACTTTGTCCTCAAGGATCCTCACTTTCCACCCCCGGCCCACCGACCCGCGACTCAAGGCTTCCGCATTCGTCCTCCCACGTGAGACGGCGGGACCGCCCGCGACCAGCCAGGATATCCCCACGCAGGGCTCTCCAGAAAGCAGCCCTCTCCTCGCGTGTTTCTCACTCACCTCAGGCCAAAGAAAGCAGCCCCGCGCCACCACTTGCCTTCAATCCGCGTTCCCGTCGCTTCCCAGTCAACCTCAAGATTCAAACTCAAGCCAGCTTCCTCAGCGCCTCCTTTCATTGGCCGGTTCCTCGTGACGTCACCACGCCGGACGTTGCCCCGGCTCGCTGCACCTCTGAGTGGCGGAGGCGACCTTGTTGTGCGTCGCCGTGGCAACGCCCGGTCGCTTCCGGAGGCTGCGGCGGGTGGGCGGGGCCTCGGCGCCGCCGGGGCGGGTCCGCGGCCTGCTGTTCCGCGCGGGGCTGCTCGCGGCGTGCCGGGCGCGGGCGAGGTGCGGGCGCTGGGCTGAGGGCTTGAGTCCGGGTATCTGTGTTTTACCCTCCTCACGGGTCAGTTAGGCCTCCGCGGGCCTCACTTTGAAAGGCTTAGCATCTGTGTTTTAGCCACATTCCTTTGAGCCGACCTTTAGGGTTTGTTGAAGGAGTTAATATCGAGGCTAGGTCTTCCCGGTTGGAGGCCTGAGGCTTTTTCTCCACTCCCTTATTGCTAGCTCACAGGATTTATCATAGTATCGCTTTTTAAAGTCTCTTAATTGTATTAGGAAGTAAATGTAAGATTTTGGCCTAGTTTACTAGTTATTGTTGGTTTGTGTTGAAGTTCAATTAGTTCAAATGTTCACTTTTTAAAAGTGGGGGTTGGGGCTGGAAATTGAAAAATCTATTTGCTAAGATGTCTTTATCAGGATGCTTTTTCATAGTAAGATCTGATGTCTTTATTTCTTATTGTCCTTTTAAAAATCCTTTTAGTTACAAAGTGTAGATGGCAAATTTTTAGGGACGCAATAATCTAGGCAGAGTTAAAACTTGGCCCTCTTGGAGTTGACATTCTGTTATTATTGTGTAAATAGAAAGACCCATGACACCACAGCTGCAGAGCATTAAAACCCTGTGTAGACCCCGCGCACACATATTAAAGACATTAGTTCTTCCTGAAAAGCGGGAGCTTTGTGGATGATATGTGACGCATGCTATGTGCTTGTTTCTGAACATTAGATAAAGCTACATCCTGTTATTAGTACGTGTGTCTTAGCTAATGAATAATCATTTGTGTGTTCGTAGGTCTGGTAATAGAAATGAAGATTTTTCACTGTATTTCAACTGTGCACTCATTGCATAGTACTTTCAGTATCTCAAATATTTTAGTAACTTTGCATAGGAAACGGCTTTTAGTCTTTTAGACAGCTCATGTAAGTATGGTTCCTTGTGTAGCACTTAGAGAAAACGAATGTGACAGGGATTCGCTACGGGAAAATCCTTGTTTTCAATTGTACGCACAAGTCAACTTAGAAAGAAGTTATTTGAAATAATTTTTAGATTGACATTAAGGTGATAGTCTGGTCGGAAAATAAACTTATCCTGCCATTTGGAAATTATATTGGCAATTGGTGAGGTGAACGCAAGTGTTTTACATTTTGGCCTGATTTGGGTACCTGTGCTGCACAAACTCGTCAGGTGTTTCCACACCTAGTTTTAATTTCGGTAGCCAAGTAGCGGGGTTCAGGTTTTGAGATCTGTATTCTTAAGCAAGTGCATATTTTGCTAAAACAGTTTGGCATTATAAACAGTGCCATTACTGTGCCAGCTGGCTGTTTGGCAAGACTTTCCCAATGTTACCAAAGGATTGGAGAATGGAGCATTTTGTAAGGAAGCAGGAAAGAATCAAACTTTATAAAGAGCTAGAAGACTCAGAAAGTCCCACCTTCCATTAGAGAAAATGGAGTACTCTGTAATTGCAGTGTTAGTAGAACATAATTTTACCTAAAAGTTAACTTGCCTCAGGCAATTGAGAAAAAGAAAAAGTGTATTTCAGGCGGTGATGGTGAGGCCTTGTTTATTCCCCGGCAGGAACTTGAGATCCTTGGAGACCTTTGGGTGCGGGGTTCCAAGCGGCGGAACCGAAGGCAGCCAGGCCCGGGTTGCTGGGGCGGACGTGAACCCCACCTGTCCGTCCCTGCCAGCGTCCCCCTGGGCGGCGGGTTCGGTCCTCCGACTTGGCCCAGCGCGAGGCCGACCGAGCACTCTTCTCGTCCCAGGTGAGCAGCTCCTCTTTTAGGGTCTGCCGGCAAGCCCCCTCCCCACCGCCCGCCTCAGCACACCTTCAGCCTGACTTTCCAAGTTTCCCGACAGTTTTCCTTCCCCGACAATTGTTAAGGCGAAAGGAGTGTTGCTCCCTTAGGACCTCTTTCACTTTCTCTGAGTTCCCGCGCTAAGCTCCGGGTCGTTTAGAATTGCATTTATGTAAACAGGATTTCCCTGCGGTGCTGGTAATTGTTCGCACACTTGAAGAAGTTGTATTCACAGGGATTCATCACCTGTAAATGCCGCGACTAACAATCTGCGGGCCAATTTTGTCTTCTCAAGAGTTGAAACTGAACTTGGCCAGTGGAGTGAAGTTACAGGACTTGCTGGGACACCGCAGAGCCCTTCTGGGTCTCCTGTGACCACAGGGACTTTAATCTGAAATCTTTCAAGGTGGCTGGCTCACGTGAGACGGCGGGAGGCTTCTGGGTTGTCTGATAGGGGCTTGCATTCCTGGACTAGGAAAAGAACTTTGTTTAGGGTTTGCTCCGGATTTACAATTGCTCCTTCTAGAAACAACCACAGAGAATGGATTATTTGTAGCCTTTTCTCCATTTTGGCACAACTTAGTAGACAATGAACAATAAAAAGCTTCATGTGTTGTTCCCTGGTTACAGCTGAATTAGGTATGTGTACGATGTACATACACACTGAATACAGTACAGAATTACCTAAGAAGGTGATAGCAATTGTTTTTATTCCCTGTTTACCTCATGTGATATTGATGCAGACATTTAAATTTCGGCTGCTTATGCTTTCTCACGCTCAAAAATTTAAACATAGGACCCAGGAGTTGTAGCCTAGTGGCTAAAGTACTTGCCTTGCTTGGGCCAGGATCCCATATGGATGCCTCTTTGAGTCCCGACCACTCCACTTCCCTTCCAGCTCCCTGTTTGTGGCCTGGGAAAGCAGACAAGGGACCCAGCACCCATGTGGGAAGCCTGGAAGAAGCTCCTGGTTCCTGGCTTTGGATTGGCTCAGCTTTGGCTGTTACAGCCAGTGGTAAACCAGTAATTGAAAGATCTTTGTCTCTCCTTTTTTTTCTGTAAATTTTTTTTTCCTATAAAACTAAGTAAATGTTTAAAAAAATAGAGAGTATCGCTTTGTGTACGTATTTCAGATTCCACTGCTTAGGCCTTTAAACAAAATCTTCTTTTCGGCATCTTGTAGCCTTCTCTGGTTTTCAAGAGGAGTAAGACCGAGATATAGGATGGTGATTTCTTTGAAATAGTTGAATTGAGTTCATGAGATACCACAAATACATAGTGTAATTAAAATATTGTTAAATTATGTGGGAATATTAAATATTTCTAGTGCGCTCTGTTTACATCATCAAGATTTCTACACCTGGGAATAGAGCACTTGTGTTATAGTTCTGGCTTTGATGAGCATGTAACCTTTGAAAGTGTATTGCATTTCCTCATTCTCCTCATCTGTAAATGGTTGTCGTGAAGCTTGGATGAGTAATACATGTGTAGTATGCTTATAATAGCAAGTGGTATTTATTTATTTTAAAGATTTGTTTTACTGTAGAGACAGATTTACAGAGAAGGAGAGGCAAAGATCTTTCATCAGCTGGTTCACTCCCCAAATGGGTTCAGTGGCTAGAGCTGAGCTGATCTGAAGCTGGGTGCTTCTTCTGGGTCTCCCACATGGTTGCAGGGTCCCAAGGCATTGGACCATCCTTTTTGCTTTCCCAGGCAATAAACAGGGAACTGGATGGAAAGTAGAGCAACCAGGACATGAAGTGGCATCTGTATGGGATCCTGGTGTTTGCAGGGTGAGGATCATCCAATTGAACCATCGTACCATCGTATTAGATATAACAAGTTGTATTTAATAAGTGCTAAATAACTATTTTGGAAACTGAAAGAAAACTTAGTTGAGTAGTTGAGTTACGTTGTAATCAGCTTCTGATTAGCATTTTGGTTAATTAGATATTACTTAATATTCCAAAATGTAAAACACTTTAAAATCACATTTGTCACAGAATTCTTTGGAATATATCATTATTAAAGTTGATATACCATAAAATAATGTCTTATGCATGGTATATTGATATATTTGTGTTTGGTTCTGTGTAGTCATTACTTGTGATCAGGATTTCAGCTCTTGATTTTCAGTTGGAAAGGGATGGAAATATATACTGAAATAGAATTTATGTTTTTGAAGTGTTTTGGGGATGTGATGTAGTAAGGTAGGTGAGATTTCTTGATGTGGAAATTCATGGAAATGTTAGTTCCATGTGGAGTTTATCTGTTAATCTCTTCCCTGCCCCTCCCTCTCAGATAATCCTAAATATTCCATGTGATAATACGAATAAAATGGTGTGGGAGTCTTAGAAGTCATTATTTAGGATGAGAAAAGTTGTGTTTACTGATTATTTGTGGTTGTGTTAAAAATTTTCTTGGAACTAATTGGATAAAAAATCATACTGTTTTCAAAAGGTCTTGTCCATGTCTTTATATAAACAGCTTCCTTTGAGTTTACAGGAATTGTAGATTACAGAAGAAACTTGAACAAGTGTGAGAATTCAATATATGTTTCACTTATTGCTTGGTGTTGGGATCCCAAAACAAATGTGATAGGATTTGCCAATGTGTGCTCAATTGAGTGTTCATAAAGTTGTAATTTAAACTGGTACACTCCACAGGTGAAGGCAGGGGTGAAAATAATTAGAGATTATGGAAGATTTTCAGTCTCCTTTTCTTTTTCAAAGTTTGTGCCTTGTCTCCTTCCAGGGACAGTGGCTCATGTAAAATTAACTTGAAGATGAGACATCAACAGTAAGAGAAAAACAAGTGGAAGAACATGAAATAAAATACCACCTGAATCTAAGATTGGATAAATACGTATAATCCTTTCAGTCATCCAGCTAACCTTTCAAATGAACAATTTAAATTTACTGTAATTAATCAGATTCAAATATTATACCCAAAAACCCAATGACTAAATAATCAGTTTTCATGTCCTTGATGTTTTCAAATAATGTTCTTATCAGGTCACATCAAAATTGCATTTAGATTATGTTTCTGCATTCTCTTTCTTCTTTGCTAAAAGAGGTTAGTTACTTTAAGATCTTCCATGATGAGTCATTTTTTGATGAGTTGAATATTTCATATTGTTTTGCTTTCTTCTAAGTAATGTTAACGTTCTTTTGAAAAAACTTAGCAGCCTATTTTTAATTTTTTTCTAGATTTGTTGACCTACAGGATGCTTCGATACTCGTATTTTTATAGGATATATAAAGAATTTCCTTCAAGCTGGTTGGAATTTGGCATGCTTAATTTAGGATCTTGGCCAAAAAGAGTACACTCTACAGCTAAAAGATGTAATGAGTATGAAGCCCAGGGACATACATCTCATATTGGACCTCAGGAGTTCCACAGTTCTCAAGAAGGAGATTTTGAAGTTATCCCTAAATTACACATTCCAGTGATGGTGGATGAAGTTGTTCGTTGTTTGGCACCACAGAAAGGACAGGTGAGTGGATTGTCTCTTGATTTTTTAATTTATTTTTATTCATACCACATTTTTTTGAGTGTAAAATCATTGTAATAATACTATTTAAAATGTGTACTTCAGAGCTCTTTGGAATATTCAAAAGGTCTAATTTCTACCTCCATCTCACTCAGGAACATTTTCATCATTCTAGGAAAACTTACAGTCATGTTAGGTTTATTCCCCATTGGCCTCCTTCCCTTAACTCCTATATCTACTAGCGTTTTTCTGATCTCTGTGGATTTGCCTGTTGTAGACTTTTCCTGTTAATAGTCATACATGATGTGAACTTTTTTAATGTACTTTCCTTCATTATGTTTTTGAATTTCATCCATATTGTAGCACATAAATATATTTGTTTTCCTTTTTAATAGATGAATTGTCCATTTGTAGGATATATGTTTTGTTTACTGGATAATGGGTATTTATGTTGTTTTCAGTTTGGGGCTACTGTGAGTGCTGTTGCTATGAACTTTTGGGTATAAGTTTTGGTGTGAATGTATGTCCAGGTGTCCTTCTGTTTGGTTTTGTTTTTTCTCCTTTTTTTTTTGGCTGTATATTTAGGAGTGGAATTGCTTAAAACCTTATTAACCTTTTGAAAATCTACCAAATAATTTTCCAGAGTTGATTAGTTTCATCAGATGGCAGTCTTAAAAAGGACATTTTAAAATGTTAGCATTAAATGAATGCTCATGAAAGTTTTTGATTATTTTATCATTTTTGAAATGAGTAGAGACAGCCTTGGATCTAAGTTCATGTCCCTTGTTATCCTAGCCTTAGTTTCAAGAGTTCTGCTGTGTGAGTAGGGATCCTAGTGGGAAAAAACAGTAGAATGTGTGTATGTCCATTTTGTATTTCCATAATAATGATAGAGATCTCTTCAGCTCACACTTTTGGAGGGAAAATCAAAATGTCTTGGCAATGGTCCTGATAGGACCCACTAGGCTGCATCACTGTGTGGTCAGTGATATGGAGGGAGATAGTGTGTGAAGGAGAGAACATCTGTCATGTGGGCACTTTTGTTCCTTTATAGCAAACTTTTCAGCAAAACTAGCCTAAGTCCCTTGAAAAATATATAAATTCCTTTTTCTGAATTAGTAGGCCCCACCTCTGTCAGCATTGCCATGCTGGGGATCATACTGGTAACAGATGACCCATTTTAAAACAAACCACAGGTACATTATAGCTGCACCTAGGTGTGCACACAGATGATACTTTTTCCTTATTTTCAGGGTATCTGTTCTAAGACCTCTGGTAGATATCTGCAACTGTATGTAGCACCAAACCCTGTCAATACACCATTTTGTTTTCCAGTTTGTATTCTGTATTTGTGATTGGCAAAATTCTGAAACTAGATTTCTTATTTTTAATCTCTTTTCTGAGAAACAAAAAGCTCTTAATTTGATTCCCCCCTAAGATTTACTCATGTTGTATGAAGTAGTTTCTATATGCATTGCATATGCTAGAATTAATGGGTGTTGCTCACACAAAAGCTACAAGTGAAATGAAGTGGGCTGTTTTATAATAATGATATTGTTTATCCTTTCCTTTGGCCATTTATACACAAGAGAAAACATCCAACATTCTTAAATGTGTTTGTATCTACAAGGCATCTTGCTCAATGTTGTCATGTAATAAGGATTCCTGAAAAAATATGCATTAAAGTGTAACTTAAAAATTCAGTTGGCTAAAAATTTGTGTTGAATGTGGCTTTATTGAAATTAAATTCCCTTCATTTTCTTTTAAAAATTTGTAAAGCAGGCATAGAGCATTTAAAACTAATCTCTAGATACAAAATTTTTTGAAAGGCGTAGAAATATGATTATTTTTTAAAGATTTAGTTATTTCTAAAGCAGGAGATAGAAGAAATATCTTCCATCCTGTTGCTTACCTTCTGAGTGTCCGCAACAGCTGTGTCTGGGCCAGGGTGAAGGTAGGTGGCAAATGGGTGGCAGGGCTTCAAATACTTTGATCATCCTAGCCTGTTTTCCTAGATACACTAGTAGAAGGCTTGTTCAGATGTGGAACAGCTCCCAGATGTATTGGCGCTGGGATATAAGATGCTGGGATCACTAGTTGCAACTTAATTTACTGTACTACAATAGTGGTTCTTGTGATTTTATTTTTAAGATACACACTCATGTAGAAGGAGGGCTTGATTTCTATACATTGATAAATGGAGATAAAAGAGGCAGCTAATAAAAATTGGAACTCAATTCGGTGTCTTGAACTTGACTCTGGAAAACATGAATCAAGAGGAGCATGTTGTATCAGTTCACAGAACCCTTGTGGCTAAACCAAGTATTTATTTTTGGAATAACCCACAAAGTAGAGAAACAAACACCACTGTCTCCTAGAGTAAATCAGTATTGGATCTGCTTTTTTTCTTAAACCAAATAGAATAAAATCAAGCGATTTTACGGCAATGTGACCTATTCTGCTATTTCTTTCTGTCCAAGTTTCTGACAAATGTAATATTGGTTTATTGTGACTTTCCATTGTTCTTATTTGAGTTGGGCTTTCCAGTAACTTAATAGAAAGTTTAATTTTATGAATGTTATCTCTGAAAACTTTCATGTAACTTATACATACAGATAATGTTATTTCTTACTTTTTCTGCTGTCTGGAAGCTGGCTTTATCACTGTTCCCCTTAATCTTAAAGTAATAAAGAGCTAGTGAGAGTCCTTGGACAGGAAAGGTCTTCATTTCATTCAGAACCTGTTATTTGCTTTTCTTTTTCCTGAGCTTTTTCCCAAAAATAATTCTGCTTTGCAAGAGATGAGTCATACATTCACTTTTATCAATCACTCAGTTAATTATTACTTTTCACGTCACCTTCAACAATGAATTTACAGATGAAACTTTGGATCATAACAGGAGCTTTAAAAAATGTAAGTGTAGTTATTAAAGTGAGGATATCTTTGTGATTATTTTTCTTTAATCTTTAAAAAAGTACATAAAATTTTTGCGTAAGGACTTTCTTCAAAATCATTGCTATTTGTTGTGAATCATAGCCAGTTTAATACATAGTAATTAACTTTGGAAAGACATTCAAAATATTTACTGTTTTTTTGTTATTAAAAAAAAGTGCCTTTCCCCTTATGAGGTGCTGAGGGACCTACGTTACGATTGTTTCTCCTCATTTAGTTTTTGCTACTTGATATTCTAGATGAATTATTTCTCCTCTTGGTTGTACCAGTTGTCCAAGAATGTTTTATTTCTTCCTGGGAATTTTTGCCATAGTCTGTGTTGATCAGATTTCTAAAAACAGGAGAAAATAAGGATGTTTTTGCCTAGTTAAAGTGGTGGTAGTTTGGAGGAGATAGGAGGCTTTGTGTTCTTTTCCTAGTAGTTGTACTCAATTTGCTTGATGCCTTGGTGCTTCTGTAAACTTGTAAAGGAGATGTTGGACATATGAGGCCCAATACCTGTAGCTGTGAAGTTTGGTCAGTTAACTTATTGGCTGAATCTCAGATTTTTCTCTGTAAAATGAGTAAGTAGAGCTTATGTCTCATCTTTACTCTGAGGATTATATGCAAATTAGAATTTTATCTTCCAGTAGTATGCACTCAATAAACATTAGCTGTTACTCTTATTGGAATAGGAAGGATTAACGTTGGTAGCTAGTTAAAAACAACTAAGAAATCGGGAGAAAGAAGCCAAGTGGAACCAGCATGTCTAGAACTGAACAATCGCTGTTTCCTCTGCCTGGAACTATGTCACCATCTTTCAGGTTTTGAGTCGAATTTTACTTTCTTAGTGCTTTCTCTGAGCCTCTAGTTGAAACTGTGAGTATAAGAACAGTTCATGGAAGGAGCGAGCATTGTGGCACAAATAGGTTTCAGCTGCTGCTTATAAAACCAGCATCCTGTGTCAGTCCTGGCTACTCTGCTTGCAATCCAACTTCCTGCAGTGTTCCTGGGAAGGCAGCAGAAGGTGGTTCAGGTGCTTGAGCTCCTGCTACCCTTGTAGGAGACCATGAGTCCTTGCTTTGGCCTTGCCACAACCTGCCTGTCACTGTTAGTTAGAAAATAAGTCACTGAATGAAAGATCTCTATGCCTCTTTCTCTATTACTCTACCTTTCAAATCAATCGTTTAAAAAGTTCGTGGAAAAAATTGTGTTAACTTTTAGTTCCATTATTCCATAAACTTATGGAAGCACTCTTGTCTAATCTTGGAATCGTGCTTATGATAATTTATTACTATTGATTTTAATGTTTGTTTAGTGGACGCCTCTCTTGGTAAACTGCCCTCCATGAAATCATAGACGTGTTTGTCTGGGTTAACGTATCTCTGGTGGTGTTTTTGTGATGTTTTACATGAATGATTAAAATGTCCCTTAGGTACCAAGATTGTTATATTAATATGTTAATATTAATTTCAGAGTGGTAGATGTTATATGATCAAGTAACTGGAAAAACTGGGCTTAAAATTGTTGAACGACGAGAGAGAGAATAAAGATGGCGGAATAGGGTAAGGACACCTTTAATCAGACGGAGAAACATTTAATCAGGATGAAGCAGAGAGGACATATTTCAGGAAATAGGAAAGGACAGAACAACAGCAGAGGGGTACCTGCAGACTGACAGACACGGGAAAGCAGCGGGCACAGCAGTGTGGTGTTGCAGTGACTGATACTGCAGCAGGGCGATCTGAACTCCAACAACAGACTGAACTCCACCAGCAACCAGGTGGGAAGGGACTTTCACTGGGAGCTTGGGAGGTGAACCCAGATGGAGAACTGTCCATCCTGCTGGTCCATTTGATTTGACCAGGAGCAGAGACAGAGCAGCAAATCACAGGCAGTGTGAGAACAGAGTGAATTTCATAGCCCAGTAAGCCCCCAAGAGCTGAATTGGGTGCCATTTTCATAAGGAGGCAAGGGCAAGGGAAAGGACTGAGCAACTCTGAGCAGGGAGTGAGCTAATTTCTGACTCAGCGAACTGCAACGACCTGGCATTCTACGAGTTCCATCCGGGG